TCAAAAAGTTGAACAAATTCATTTATTGATGTAGAAGTGTCCATTTAAGTAAGATTATTATTTAAGTTATTATGATTTAGATAGAAAAGTCAAGTTGTCAAGCGCCTGCTTACCCATAGGTATAAGTTGCGACTGGTAAATTTTTAATATTTTTATAATTTACATTTAATATTTACAAATCATAAACTACATATAAAGAGAAAAAATAAATTTGAAAGATTAGACGCAAAAAAAGCCCTTGGTATTTGCAGTTTTAAAAAATTATTTACAAATAATTATATATAAGAAATAATTTCAAGACCACTGAAGATGAGTAGCTGTATAGTCAGATAAAAATTCAATTAATTAATATTAAAAAATATTTGTTGTTGTAGTTTACTACTATTTGAAACCTCTCTGAAAAGAAAAAACAATATATAAGCTAGTACAGAAACATAAAATGTATCGTATATATGTTATATATATATATCGATTACGTATAAACATGAAATTAATCAACTAATAGAAAATGATCAAATTGTATGGCATTTAAAAAAAAAATCACACTTGAAGTGAGTAGAACAGGTCATACAAAATCCTAAAGAAAGCACAGTGTTACAAATACTGGAAGACAATAACAAGTAATCGAGGAAGACCAATAAAAATATGAGATGAGAGTGTACGGCAAGATCTCAGAGAGATGAATATCAGGAAACTGGAAAGCAGAGATTAAAAACAATCATAAATGGAACGAAGGTGTGAAACAAGCGTAAGTTCTAAATGGACTTTAAAGCAATGATGATAATAATTAATAATTTATTACAATTTAAACAATATGAAATTCTTAGTGTATGAAATGTAAATAGTTACAAAAGTTTGAATAATAATAAAGAAACAACAACAAAATTTTTATTAATTTATTGATATTTGATTCAACATACAGCGCTGTTTCGAATATCATTATCATTATTGTTTCTAAGTTGACAGACACGAGTTCTAAGCTTAGCACTTGCAGTCCAACAAATTATATATGGACTATAAACTAATTAAATAAAAATTTGACTATTTCCTAAGAACACTGATGATGAGTACTTAGCAGTGCTTGTTTATATAAACAAAAAGACGATTGAGCATGATACGTTAGCAGGAAAGATCTACCATTTATGTGAGAGTGTAGCGCAATGTATTTTTCTTGAAAAATCTATACAAAATCCATTCTAAAATGGCTAATGATATACTATTATTGTAAGTATAGACAATTATCCGTTATTATATTTATAAAACTGATTGATAATTACTTATAACAAATCCATACTACGTAAAAGATATCATTCTAATGTTACTCTGACTTTCAAAGAACGAAGCTCTTTAAATCAATAATATATTAACCAGACACACAAAATTAGGTGCAAATATGTTATACCTCGTCCTTAACACATATGCGAGCTACATCCAGAAGTTGTATGAAACTGGGAAATAAAAATATATCAGAAAGGCTATTGACCAAATATAATGTAATTTAGACTATTTAAATGTCTTGCAATCCAAAATACTGTAAGTCTTTTGCGGCGCAGTGGAAATGTTCTTCAAATCCATATAAATTTCTTTATTAGACACTGTGAACTCAGAATACTGGTTGTTTTCGTAGAACTTTATCTAAGACAGTTTTTTTATTATCTGTCATTATCTCGTATTTAGTAAGTTAATATTCAATTAAGGTGATACCATGTTCTTACTCTAAATGCCTGAACAATTGAAACAGATTCTAAATTTGATTGTAAAAAATTTACAGTTTTTATGTGTGGGAGCTTATTACACTCAGAAAAATAATTTGGTTAATTTAAGCAGTTTTTAACGAAATCTCAGGTCAAAATATTCTTACTCGACGCATCATGTTGGTTCAACCATACCATATGTTGGTTTTTATATCTTCTTTAATAACATGAGATAAAATTTGTCTAACAAGATAATCAGGTCAGTTTAATTATTATGTGATTAGAGCATATGTTTCTGAGTATAAAAACCTGAAAAATTTGCAGTTAACCTAGCAGTATTGTAGTACACTTTGTTATGTTCTTACGAACTGATCTAATTTCCAATTAGATAATAATCTAATAATAATCTAATACCAATCGTCACGTTTCTGATTATCCATGCACGCATATTTAACAAAGTGCTATGTTAGATATCTTTTAATCATACTATATAATTTACTACTCGAGACATGAAGGTTTACGCTATTCATTCTTGTTTTCATGTGAACATTTCCAACCTTAAAGCCGAATATCTGGAAAGCTAAGCTATAGTGACATATACTCTAGTGAAAAGAGAGTTGCTCAACACCTTTGTCTATCGGAGGCGCCCTGAAAATCGTAATTATGAGCACCCTTCGCCCAATCGATAATTAAATTCTACACTTATTTTAATTTTTCTTTGTTCGATAAGAAAAGTGATACAGGATATAAGTTGTGTAAATTTTGATTGAATTTTATCCTTTTAAAAATCTTAAGTGTTTATACTCATATTACTTCACATAAGACTTCAAGTATTTTTTAAGTAATTTTTTTAAAGCTCTTCCAACACAAGACTTCTCGGCTATTTACAAAAGGTTACCCACTCATTATTGAAAGGCTTTACAGTTGTATTGTATGTTATTTAATGCAAATATGGGTATCTGTGCCCCAAACATACTTTAACTAAATCCATTCGATAAATTCTGTTACACAAGCTGACGCCTATCGAAAACTTTAACACAACATGCAGGAAACGTACGGGAAGTCCAGTGTTGCTTTTACAATTCGTTGCACAAATTGGGGCCTAAAATACAATCCCTTTATCCACTAAAACTTGCTATTTCAACAGTTTTTTAACTGAGACTTCGTACGTGAACCCGTCAAAGTATAAACCAGAACCTGAAATAAAAATGAAAACATAAAAATTTTGAAAATACAACAAAACAAGCATTTTTTGTCAAATTTGCAAAACTTGTTAAAGTTACTTTGTGTGATGCCTTAATTTGTTTCCATGTACACAGGAGGAATAAACCAACAAATGAAATCCATTTCAGTTTTCAGGAAATAAAAAAATTGTATTATCAACAGTTTTGCCCCCACATAGATTCGTTTCGGTGCTGCTGTCTAAGCTCGATAGAGTTTCTGAGTTTTTAGTCCATTGGTTTGGTAAAATAAATATTATGATAGGTTTTATTTCATGCTTGAATAGTTCAGATACAAACTCAAAACAAAAACTTAGACAAGCTGTTAAAAAATTTTAATGGACTTGTGAATGGAAAAAGTTTTTGATTCAAAGCTTCAACAAAGTTTTTGAAATTCTTCAGCCACTCAGTTTGGCATTTCGGTTAAAAGGCTGTTTGAATGTTGCTGCTCTTCATTGATTCTATCAGCCTTTCATTTCAGTTTAATATATGTCAGTTGTGTCACTCACTTAGATAAATATTCATTATCATTTAGAAGCATTCATGTATGACTGGTCTACTTATGCCATCTAAATTGCCTTTGCCTTTGCCTTTGCATTTGTCAGTGCAATTGTGAAACTGAGAAGCGTAGGCAATCCAAAAAATTTAGCTCGCTCGAGGATTACTAAACACGTTTTTCTCCTTTTCAATTTTCAGTAAAAGGGAGCCAGAATGTACATAAATTATTTACGACCTATAGTTTTTAGCTTAGTAAAGGTACGCAGCCGGCCATTTATTTTGGCCAGCTACTCGTGCTGCTAAAGGTTCAAATTACCCATAAATTGAACTCGTTTATGCTTATTTTTGCAACGTTTGGAGCGCACTGCATTACGGAAATATCTAACGTATATGGAATTGTATAGATTTAATGTATTTAATGTAGATATGCAAATATAATTAGTAACATTTTGCGGAAATATATATACATATATGTTTAGTTTATGTCACCTAATTAATGCACTTAAATCGAATCAAATATTTTATGGAATATCGCAGCTTAACTAATTATGGCTCAAAGCAACAGGTAGTTAAGTGGATAATTATAATTATAGTTAAATATTAAATGATTGATCTTATAACTTCTGGTATAAATGAGTATTTAATTAACTAATTTGTTATAAGGTTGATAGCAATCAAAACAGTTAATTAGCAATAATAGATTAGGAACAATAATACCAACGAAATGTAAATGAAAGTCAACTATTTGTATGTACTGTTATGGACTTAAATGTATTTTACATTATTTATGCAAATTATTTATTTGATATTTATGCTAACAATTTTTATAGCTTATATTTAATATTCATTAAATAATATTGAACTATTTATTTGTTAATTATTAAATTTTGATATTTACCTTTAGTAAACATTACAATGTTGTGATACTATTTATTTGTTTGTTAATAGTGATACCTATTAGATACTTAATGCTTATATGTGTACTTTATTTACTTAATTTAATTTATTTAATTGGTTATATTATTCTATTGCATTATAATATATATCAAATAAATACAATACTGTATATGGCTATCGACAAAATCCACCGCAACGCAATATGGGCTGCACTCTCGAGCAGGGGAGTACCGCAAAAGATAATCAATCTGATCAGAGCTCAATACATTCAAAATGCTTCCATTCAATGCTCTGGAATGGAACTCGCATGGCACCAGAAGACTTGGTAAACTCGAGATTACATGGAGGGGCATCATCTTCAACGAAACCGGAAAGTCTCTCAACGAACTACGAAATTTAGTTTTAAACATACAGAATTGGAGATTTTAATCTATTTAACCTAACCTATGTTATTGATGGAATGCGGTCAATAAATAATTATATGCAACTTGTAGACACCGTGTGTTGCAACGCTTCTTTGAAAATAACCGGTTTTATTTAAAAGTTCATAAAACTTTGACCACTAGAAAAACCTCACTTGAGACA